GGGGAAACTGATGACAATCGAATGCGACGGTGTTCCCTCCTCCCTCCTCCTCCACCTCCACCTCCTCCTCCTCCTCCTCCTCGTCCTCCTCCTCCTCCTCCTCCTCCTTCTCCTCCTCCTCCTCCTCCTCCTGCTCCTCCTCCTCCTTTTCCTCCTCCTCCCCCTCATCCTCATCCTCATCCTCATCCTCATCCTCATCCTCATCCTTACGGCTTGTCGTGCGGGTTGGCGCTACAGCGCACATGCACATCTCAGCGTGCACCGCAGAATGGTCGATTAAATCGGTCCACTTGTTTCTCGGACGGCCAGTTGAGCTGGAGTTTCCTGGACGCAAATGGGAGGAGCTAAGGTAATGCGGGCGGACTCGGGAGGACTCGTAAATTCCAGCGGCGCTCCTTTGTCCAGAAGGATTCCTTTTCTATTGTTTTTTTTGTGGAATCCAAAAGCGCTCCATTTTGTCATAAGGATTCCATCTAAGATTATATACACAACAACGGTGGTGTTTTGCACACGGTTGCTGTGGTGCACACAGGCGCCGTGGTGTACGCAGGCACTGCAATGCACGCAGGCATTGTAGTGTACACTGGTGCTGTTCTGCACACGGCTGATGTGGTGTACGCAGGCGCTGCGTTGTACACGAGAGCTGTTGTGCCCGCAGGCACGATGGCACAAACTGACGCTGTGTTACACGCGGCTGCTGTGGTGTACACAGGCGGTGGGTGTGGTGTACACAGGCGCTGTGACGCACGCAGGCACAGTGGTGTACACAGGCATTGTGGTGCAAATCGCCACCTACATGCTGGTGCTACCCGTCGTCCCTCATCCCTACGCATTCTCAGACGCCGCCAGCGCGAAACGTGACGTCATCGACCCCCTCCACCCCTCCCCGATGATTGCCTTGATCGGTCCGGAAAACAAGCTCCAGCCGCGTCCGCGCGCACGACGACGATGAGCGACGAGCGACCAGCCATGAGCGATGACGACGACGACGACGACGACGACGACGACGACGACGACGACGACGACGACGACGACGACTGCGGACCAAACTCCGATGCTGATTTCTACGCGGACACCTACGCGGATCCCAATGCGCATGGCGGCAGTGCCCGGAGCGCACTATGGGGGGGAGCGTTACGTCATCGGGGGGGGGAGTGGAGGCCATGACGCCCGTCACGCCCCAAGCAAAAAAGAAAGGGGTTCTGGGGCTATTGGGCTATAGGGCTATAGGGCGATTCGGGATAAAGGGCTATAGGGCTATAGGGCCATAGGGCAATAGGGCTATAGGGCTATGAAGCTATAAAGCTATAACGATATGGGGCTACTGGGCACCCGGGCACCCGGGCGCACCGCACCTAACCATTGTATCCGATACACGGGATAGTAGGCCATTATGTTTCCGTATACTCGAAGTAATAAGCCGCTATTACTTCGTGGATCCAATACACGGGATAGAAGACCCCTATTACTCCGTAGTACGGAAAATAAGCCCCAATTACTTCGTGTACCCGAAACACGGAGAAGTAGACCCCTTAACACCCCGTATACACGGAGCAGCAGGCCCCTATTACTCTATGTATCCGACACACGGAAAGTAGGCGCTTATTACTCTGTATGCACGGAGTAATACGCTGGTATTACTCCGTGTATTCGATACACGGAATAATAAGCCCATATTACTCCGTATGCACGGAAATATAAGCCCCTCGAACTCCATGTATCCGATGCACGGAATAGTAGGCCCCTATCACTCCGTATACATGGTGGAATAAGTCGTACTACTCGTTGTATCCGATACAAAAGAGTAGCAAGCGCCTACTATTCCGTAAACACGGAGCAATAGGCAGCTATTACCCTGTGTATCCGACACACGGAATAATAAGCCCCTGCTACTCTGTAAACACGGAATCATAGACTCCGATTACTCCGTGTATCCGACACACAGAATAGTAAGCGCAAATTACGCCGTATACACGGAGCAGGTTACCTGTGTACGCGGCAAACGGAAAAGGCAAACCCCTATTACTCCGTATACACGGAATAATAGGTTCCGAGTACTCCGTGTATCCGATACACAGAACACTAAGCGAAAATTACGACATTATACACGGAGCGATAGGCCGCTATTACCCCGTGTACCCGATGCACGGAATACCAAGCCCTTTGCTACCCGCATATACGGAATAGCAGGCCCCGAGCACTACATATACACGGAAATATATACCCGATTGCTCCGTGCATCCGATACACGGAATGTAAGCCCCCTTTACTCCGTGTAAAAAAATAATAAGCCACTACTACACCGTGTATCCAACACACGGAATAGTAGGCCCCCATTACTCCGCAGTCACGGAATAATAAGCCCCTGATTACTCCGTGTATCCGATACACGGAATAATAACCACCTGATATTCCGTATACACAAAGTAATAAGCCGCCATCACCACCACAACACCAGCAATGGCAATAGCAGCAACAGCACAATCACCATCAACATCAC